ATGGCAGCAACGTGAATTTGGCCTGCACATGGAAACAAGCCTGTTCTCTACTGAAAAGTAGGAAAAAATGTATAATCCTGAAGAGGTACAAGAGGGAGCGAATATCCTGCTCTCTGACCTCCCTCTATCCCATGACCTCAAATAAGCTGCCACGCATCAGGAAAATACACCAAAATGTCACTGTTGTAATCACCTCATTTACCTGAGCAATCCGTTTTCCCTAAGCTATTCCAGCTGTAGAGGAAAGGCCACAGGCAGCCACATCACGCAGTCACCACACTGTTTAATCAGCACTGGCAAAATCCACTGTAGATGCTCTGCTATCGATATCAAAACCACTATGAAAAAGAACAAACACTGGATACAGTATATTAACAATGGTAATAGAAATTAATGATTGAATTCAGGCACGTCTATATGAAAGAGGTCAAATAGGAAGTTGATGCTTGTGTTTTCAACTATAATTATTTTTTAATAGAAGATAAAGCCCTTGCATCACTTTTTGAAAGGATACTCCTTGTAACACTACCGCAGTGACTTGACATGGGTGCCTCCTTCCCCATGGGGATCCATGCACGCTACACGCAAGCCAGGCACAGGGGCCAAAGCAAACCAAGCAGGCTGGTTGCAAAGATCTGCTTTCCAGCACAGGAATTCACTGTACAGGAATTCAGCACTCTGGAGAAGCACAAGCCCTGATTTACACCACACTCTTGCTTCCCTACGGCCTCTCGGTCTTTCCTTTTACCGTTGACTGAATGAGCACCGCTGCGACCTCGCAGCCAGGTCTCGGGTCCCGCGTGCCTTGGAAGCCCGGCAGGAAGAAGGGGTCAGAAAGGCCCGGCCGCTCGCCCAGCGTGGGCCCGGCCCGGCACGTCGCGCCCCGCTGCGCCGCGAGGGGAAGCTCTGCCGCGCTCCTGGCACCGGGAAGCAACTGGTGGTACCCAAGGAGCTACAGATCGAGACCCCTCATGAAAAACAACAACAAAAAAGAGTTTTTCGGAGGGAAGGGGAGAGCGACCCAGGCGCTGACCGCCCGCATCCCACCTGCCCGGCCGGGCCCGTTAATTGGATCATCGGCGGGGGCGGG